GGCGTAGCACTAGATGCTCACAAAGCAGTTCTAGATGTCGGTTATATCGACACATCATAAGAAGCCTTACAAGCAAGCAGCGGCTGCTTGCAGGACCTTCTACCCGGTGTGGATCTTTGAGAGCAGAGTTTCACACTCCACCGTGAGATCCACATCGGATAGGCGGACGAGCCATCGTACCGCTGTTGGCTGTAGTCATCTTGAGAGTCGATGAGGTGAGGACCCGACGATGTTCCAATTGGGACGTGCTCTTGTTTCGTGATGTGCAGATGCTTACCGGTGGTGCGTTCGATCCCCTCCTCGACGTGAAGCAAAGTGCGAGGGAATTGCTCAGGGCTCACACCAGAAGTGCGATTGAACTCGCACTTTGATGGAGAAACAGTTGCGCAGTCCTTCAACACGACGATTTAATATGGACATTGGCTTGTCATTTCTATATCACAGGTTGAAAACGCAAACAAATATTTTTGTGTAGAAGATTCATATCCATTCATACAAGTATCTTTTGTCATCGCAAACATCGAAACGAAAACATCTCAAGTCAAATTGCAAAGCACACAGAGACATCGCAAACATCGAGGTGAAAACATCTCAAGTTGCGCACTGTTTTTCCAAAGGTGAAGTCTCAGAGCAGACGATCAGTTTCCAGAAACCATTCTATGCAGAAAATTCATTCAAGGGCAAATTGCAAAGCACAAAGACTTTCCAAATTGAACGCAAAATATCATACAATCCCACATTGCAAAGTGCATAGAGACTTTCCAAAAATCACAAAGTATATGGAGCCAAAGTGCGAATATGTTCTAATTTTCCATATGGAACCAATAGTTCAATCACAAATGCACGGCATCCAAAGTGCGAATATGTTCGCATTTCTCACACGGAAACAACAACCAGCATCCAGTGGAGAGCATGAGATGTATTCCGGAGATAACAAAATTGGCAATCATTTAGTGCACCGCTGAATCCGTTAAACAACTTCAAGCACAAGTCAAATTGCAAAGCACACAGAGACATCGCAAACATCGAGGTGAAAACATCTGAAGTTGCCTAGTGTTTTTGCAAAGGTGAAGTCTCACAGCACACGAACAGGTACCAGAAACCATTCCATGCTGAAAATTCATTCGAGGACAAATTGGAAAGCACACAGAGACGTTTCAAAAAGTCATTGAACGCAAAATATCATACAATCCCACACTGCAAAGTGCATGGAGGCTTTCCAAATATCACAAAGTACATGGAGCCAAAGTGCGAATATGTTCTCATTTCTCATATGGAACCAAGAGTTCAATCACAAATGTACGGCATCCGAAGTGCGAATATGTTCGCATTTCTCATACGGAAACAACAGCCAACATTCCGTGGAGAGCATGATATGTATTTTGGGGATAACAAAATTAGTGATCATTCAGTGCACCGCTGAATCCGTAAAACAACTTCAAGCACACATACATTCTGGCGACAATTGGTTTCCAAATGGAGAACAAGTTCGCAACTGTTATAAGGAACCAATAGACAACATTCAATCGAGACAAGCAGAGGGGGTGAACCGTAAAACGGGGCGGCACAATGCAGAACAAGGGCGAGCCAAAACATATGAAAGCTGGTTGGTCGGGGTGGGGCGAGGGAGAGGGGCTTTCACACCACAAAGTCTCGCGAACGAAAGAGATAAGCACGAAACAATTTGGCGACTAAGAATAAATCGTCGATATCTTTCACATGAGTAAAAGAGGAGCACAACCTCGAAACGAACAAACGCAGCATGGTGCTGCCGCGGTCTGAGAGGACATAAGGAGAACAACCCGAAAATAAACAAAAGGAGCACAAAGTTGGGATATTCACATCCGATATGTAAGCGTCTACTTGAAAGGAAGTGCACCACGTGGCTGAGATATTTACATCGGCATCTGAGCTTCTACTTCACGTAAGCGTCCGCTGCTACCCTCTAGCTGATGTTGCGCGGCAAGCAATGAGAACAACCCAAAAACAAACAAAGGAAGCACGGGGCTGCCGAAAGTCCTACGAGTAAAGATGACAGGTTCCACGAAATGAAGAACCCTTAAAAAATTGATACATCACGAGGCTGGGATATTCACATCGAGACCTAAGCGTTTACTTGACCAAAACGTCCACTGCAATTCGGCACCTCATGAAAACAACAACACAGTTTGAACCGGTTGACTGCTAGATCAAGTGGGAATAGATTCGCACTTCTGCTTATGGCATTTCAAAAAAAAAACTACGCGTATTTTGACAACAGTGGTATCATTCAGCGCCTTGGAGTATGTCCACCGCAATCCTCAGCCGGATGTTTGGAATGTCGCTTTGGGCTATCGGAAATGGTGGCGGACAGCCGCGTGCAAGAAATGAAGCGAAGGCGAGCATGAAAACACCGCAGCTCGACCCGTCCGATTATTGAGGGACACCACGAACAACCACCTTGGGCTCCTAGAGATCCACTTTCGTTTTTGGACCATAATGACAAACTGCTTCGTCACAGAGGTATTGCGTGAAGTTCGCAATCACATCAGAAGAAAAACCGCCATCGTCTTGTATGAGGGAGTCGTAGTACTCCAACCGTTATTCTCGGAGACACAATAGGGTCCAATGCACTCCATGTTTATGGACAGGAATCAAGACCATCTCGTGCGAGAAAATATCCACATCTTTTGTCCATCTCGCAACCCTATCATGTCGATAGCCGCCACGGATGAGCTTGGTATAGAAAAATGTGCTGAAAATATAAAGAGAGGGACACCCAGACAACACAACGTTGGCAAGCAAGGCCAAGTACGACTCCACCCCCTCGTCGGAAAGCCATTCCCCCTGAACAAGAGTTTGAAGACTTTTTCTGCTCAACGGAATTGAATTGACCCCTTTGCGAACCGAGCACACCACCTCGTGGCCGTTGCTGTAATCTCCACAGACGTTCCGCAACATTCTCAAGTCCGTAGCGCTAAGCTCCTCAGTAGGCAACGGAACGCGAAAACATGATGTAGCCCCAGCTGCACAAACACCCATAAACAAGTGTGAGGAGTGAGCACAAACCCCCTGGTGGAATGGCTAAGAACTGTCTGCCATTTTCCCAAAAAAGTTGTATCCCCGCTTGTTGAATGTGTCCTTCGCGATGTACTTAGGACACGGGCCTTTCAAGACACCCCGTTTGTCATCGTCATCAGACCCGTCAGACAAAGCAGTAACGCTCTCAATAGACACAACCAAATGTTTTCGCAGACCTTCCTCCTTATCTATTCCATAAGCCTTCAGAACCCTGACGGCTCTCTGGGAAAGGCGAGGCATCAGGACCCTTTTAAACAACCCTACGCTTGACGACTTCTTCGGTGAAGCGGCCAATGACCTCCCTGAAAGACGTTTCTCGCGCACAGCTTTTAAAGGCTTCATGGGCAGGGACATTAACAACCTCACACCTGTAGAACATAGAAAACAACCCACAACCCACAAACTTTTTTTTAACGAATGGTAACAGGTACATTTAATTTAGCCCATGACATCAATTTAGACGAACAAAGAGCTGGCCAGTGACAAATATGCGAGTGATCCTATTCACAAATCTTACCGTGCTCGGGAGCCCTTTGAGGGAACTCGCCCTTCTGTCGCGCCACTGCGCCAACGTCCACGGACAATTCGAGGTTCTGGACCTCGGCCACGGCTGTGTCGCTAACCAGCTCGGTGGCAACTTAGTCGCTTGGCAAGTCGATGGCTTCATGAAGCACCACTTCCCGACCGGTACTGAGGACAGATGCTCGATCACCCTGTTCGGCACCGCAACGGGTGGACGGAGAATCATGATCTTTCCGCTGTGGATCCATCTTGATGCTGACGGCCACCTCCCCGCCTTCCACAGAGGATTCGACGTTCTGCATCTCGGCCACGTCTGAGTCGCTAACCATCTCGGTGGCTGCCGAGTCGTCACCCAACTCTATGGCTTCATGAAGCACCATTCCGCGAGCGATGCGCACGACAGACGCTCGACCACCCTGTTCTTCACCGCATTGGGTGGGCGAAGAATCACCATCTTTCCGCTGTGGATCCGTCCAGATGTTCTGCATCTAGGTCACGCCTGAGTCACTAACCAGCTCGGTGCCTGCCGAGTCGTCACCCAACTCTATGGCTTCATGAAGCACCATTCCCCGAGCGCTGGTCAGGACAGACACTCGACCACCCTGTTCTTCACCGCAATGGGTGGGCGAAGAATCACCATCTTTCCGCTGTGGATCGGTCCGGATGTCGACATTCACCTCACGGCCTTCCACCACGGGTTCTCCGCCTTTCTCATCGCCATGAACCCAAGCTTCCACCGTGGGTTCTTCTTCGTCTTCATCGTCACCAAGAACGGGAGCTTGCACAGACGTCCACTGACCTCCCTTAACGACACCCTCTCGCGTTATGGCCACAACCGAGCGACTGTGCAGAACGTCTTCGGACGTCCCGATCACCAGCGCTCATGCATGGAGCCACTTCACGTCTTCACGAGCCGGCCTGTGTCGAGTGTCCTCTCCCCGCTGTACAGCATGCGTTTCCCCCGGAGCTCCTACACTCTCACTGTCAGTGTCCACGGACGCACCCTCCGAAGCATGACGTTCACACTCGCTACCCCCAGTCTCCAACACTTTGCGAGACTGCCAGCGTTGAGTCTCCTCTTCCCGATGTAGAGCACGCGTTCCTGGAGAGCGCTTGTCTTCCCCAGGAGTGTGACGTTCGTTCTCGCTACCCCTGGTCTCCAACACTCCTGGAGCGGGCCCCTCCAGCACGTCGCGAGACCGCCAGTCTCGAGTCTCAACACATGAGAAGGGAGGCGATCAGGGTAACCCTGTGTCCAACTGAAGATGCGGGGGCCAGGACGTCACATTTTCTTGGCCCCGCGGAACTGTTGCGTGAGGAGCACTTATGGCGGAGGGCGATGTCAGCAAATCCGAATGTATTCGGAGTTTGTGGCGGTCGCCCGAGCCGAGGGAACCGGAGGTCGCACCTTCGCTCCTTCGCAATGCAGGCATCCCGCCTTCAAGGCAAAACAAAGACGCGCCCTCTTTCAGGAGCAAGGTGTTGAGCACAGGAGACCTCTGCTGCGCACGGCGGGATGGACTCTCCTGGGCAACGGGAAACAAACTCCTCGCAAACAAGTGCGAATCTACTCGCACTTTGATCAGACGTCAGGGTGACCTCGTCTCGCATGTCGGAATCTCGACTCCCTACGCAGTGGGGGTCAGTTTCCATATACTGGGGACTCCCGGATGTTCTACGCGTTCCGCCCGACCCCTTCCCGCCCGACCCCTTCCCGCCCGACCCTTTTCCGCCCGACCCCTTTCCGCCGGACCCCTTCTCTACCGACGATGTCTCGCCCGTCCCCTTTCCAGCAAATTGTGAGCCGTCTCCTCCGCCACCTCCGCCGTCTCCTTCGTCTCCTCCGCCACCTCCGCCGTCTCCTTCGTCTCCTCCGCCACCTCCGCCGTCTCCTTCGTCTCCTCCGCCACCCCCTCCCGGATGCTGACCGGCTGGCGGAGGTTGCGACATGCGCCAGTCAATGCCACGAGACGGTGCCGTTTCGAGTGCGTAGAAAGGCGTTCGAAACTCCAACATGTTGTTGGCGTACAACTCATGTAGCTTTTGTTGTGCATACACATCGACGTCCGGATCGTTCCTCTCGGGGTTCATGAGTCTCAAATGCTCCACCAGAGAAGTTCTTGCCTTTCTCTTAAATGCACCTGCTCCCAGTCTCTTCAGTCCACTCCACTTGCCATCGGCCTCCTTTATTGCCATGACCCATATTCCATTCCTCACAACAGGTTGGAATATCCTTGGGTGCCAGACGACGTTGTGTCCCCAGACATCCTCCGCCGTGAACCGGTGATGCTTGCCGAAGAAGTAGAGTCTGTCATTCTGCCAGGTGTCATGGTCCAGAGGGAGCCTGTCACAAGGTTCGTGATCATAGTCTCTCTCTTCCTCCCCGTCATCAGACAATTGGTCGTCGACTGGTTCGCCCCGAAACACACGCTTCAAACCGACAGGGGACGTGCTATATCTCAGAGGGCCACCTTCCTCTTCATCACCAACCTGTCCAACCACCCGAGGAAGTGGCATGGACTCGAAATCGAAGGTTTTGGAGTCGCTCAACTCCTCCATCTCTTCAGCGTCGAAAGGGTCCTCCTCGTCAAACTGTGACTTGTAGTTTTCCAAAGTGAGCGGTTTGGCCAGCGTGAAGTAAACGTGCTCCAGCCTTCTCAGGAAGTGCGAGACAGACTCCCTGGGTGCACCGTGGTACCCATTGAGCACAGCGAACACCAGGTTTCTCTGTCGACTGTATTCGAGGTCGGTCGGACCAGGCGGTCCGGGTCCGAAAAGGAAGTCCCAAACGTCCGTCCTTTTGTTCCCCGACAATTTCCAATACATGTCATGTTTGGGATCCCAGTTTCGTTCGCCGGTAGTGCGGGCAAACTCGCAAGCATTGAGAGTGTCTGCAACGCGTGTCTTCACAAACTCGTGAAGGTAGTCGATCATCTTCACCTCCTTCTCCAACGCAACGACGTTCCGACCGGTGCGGAGCAGTCCCCACACGACAGACGCATGCGCCTTCCCAAAGAAAAAAACAGTTTGCCCAGCTTTGCAAAAGTTTTCGAGTAGACCAAGTAGACGGGACGGGTTCTGCTCCATCTCCCCGTAAGCAGGTCCTTGAGAACTTGTCACGCCGCCGTCCTCCCACATGCTACGAGAGAACCTTTCCTCTTCCGCCACGTCGAAACACGCCACAGCCTGTCCTGATAGGTCTGACGAACACACAGGTTTCGAGCGGGCCGCCACCGTGTGTTTGGCCGGACTTGGACCTTTTGTCGGGCTACTGGCCGGGTAGACTACGCATATGTTTTCGGAGACTGCAACAGTCCACGAACCGCAGAGCCACGTATATGGATCATCTATGAATGTCATGTATGGCTTCGGTTCACGACCTCGTCCGCAAGAAACCTTATATGTGACAAGGTCCGGACGGGTTGTCAGATCTTGTGTTTAAGAAAAAACATGTTGTGTGCGGTTGACTGATGACGGGTGTCCTTTTGCGAGAGTGCTATGTGTGGCTTCTTCAAACAAAAGTAGAAAACTCGTGGATGCAGTTGTGCTCGTGGTACGGAACGAGATGGTACTTCAGGGATCCAAGTTCAAGCCCGTGATGTCTCCCCCCGATGAAGATGGACGGTCAGATTTCGTGAGAGCAGGTCGGGTCAGATGTTTATCATTGTGGCATGAGGTGGAAGAGAAAGTGTCCGACATACGAGACTGTATAGGGAATTCCTTAGCACGATCAGGAGGGTTTGTCAGGATGAAATACATGTCCGTGTTTTCGGAGAATGCAACTGTCCACGAACCGCAGAGCCACGTATATGGATCATCTATGAATGCCATGTATGGTTTCGGTTCACGACCTCGTCCGCGAGAAACCCCGTATGTCACAAGATACGGACGTGTGGTCAGACCTTGTGTTTAAGGGCGATTGTAATTCTAATGAACTCTTCTGGTTTTACAACTATCTTGTGCTGTGTCACGATGTTACGTTGTCTTGCGATGTCGTGTCGTGTACTTCTATTACTTTTTGCTTAAGAGAAAACATGTTAAAATACAATCTTGTGGAACATGATGTGCATGTGCATCTTGAAATGGTGGATATGCAGACAATCACATGTTGCCTCTCGCACCTATTGTAACTATTGCCTCTCGCACTCTATCTATTACTTCATACAAGTTGCCTCTCGCACCTATTGCAATGCCTCTCACACCTCTATCTACTACTTGTTTTTTGCTTCGAACGTTTTTCCGGAAACAACCCCTGTCTACTTTGCAATGTGCGGTTCAGTGGTTTAAATATTTCTCGCAACTCTGCGTGCGCTGTTTTCATTTACGAAGGTGCAGTGTTAGGAAAAGACTATGCAAGTTACGAGTGTTTTCATTTCCACGTTGCGGTGACAAGAGTAAATATTCCGAATGGATGTTATGTATCTTGTCCATGCAAAGAAATGACACGCCGATGACCTTGCAAGTGTTTCGATCTCCGATGTTCATGCCAATGTCTTACAGTCCTATACATGCTCATGTCAAGGAGGGGATCGATGTTTGCGATGACAAGAGTGAATATTAAGAATCTATGTTATTGATTTGTCCATGCAAATGACAAGCCAGCATCCGTATTGTATCACCGCGCTGATGGTGTGCATTCATGTTGTCCATCTAAATGAGAGTTCACTTCGACTTGTGGTGTGTACCCCGAGCAATCCGCTAGTTGTTCATGCAAATGTCCAAGAACTAATAACCTGCGGGATCTGGAGTTCAATTCTGTTTCTTGAGTGCGAAACTCTGCTCGAAACAGATCCAAATCTAACAGGAAGTCCCGCCACAGACCAAGGTTCCCTTATAGCGCGTGGCCATCCGCACAGACCGCTGCTCAGTCACAAAGCCGCGATATCTGCGAATTGATTCGCTGTTCAACTAGTATCTGTCAATGCCTTTCCAGGTCTCTCTCTCTCTCTCTCTCTCTCTCTCTCTCTCTCTCGCACAGACCGCTGCTCAGTTACCAAACCGATATCTGCGAATTGATTCGTTGTTCAACTAGTATCTGTCAATGCCTTTCCAAGTCTCTCTCTCTCTCTCTCTCTCTCACGAACAGTGCTATTGGCAATCAGCATCGAGAGCGAACGACTGTTTGCCACTTCTGTAAGGTGCTCTGTCGAACACCACTAACTCCCGAATCATTTGGTGTTCAACTACTATCTGTCAACCAGAGAAGGAGGTCCTTCCGGGAAGATAAATGGTGGACACATTTATTGCAGGGGTACTGACGGGCAACTTGCCAAATGTCATGCACCTGGCTGGGTGTTCCGCCCGATCACATTGACAGGTTCAGTCCTTCAACTTGCAAGGTGTCGGGCGTCGGACCCCTGACCTTTTATGGAAAATAGGCACCACATACCCAACACGATGCCCTTTTGAATCGTGTACTGTCTGTCACAGCAACACTAAGCCAATGGTGTGCGTTCATGTTGTCCATCTAAATGAGAGTTCACTCCGACTTGTGGTGTGTACCCCGACAACACCACAAGCAATGTCCAAGAACTGCTAACCTGCGGGATCTGGAGTTCAATTCTGTTTCTTGAGGGCGAAACTCTGCTCGAAACAGATCCAAATCCAACAGGAAGTCCCACCATAGACCATCAAACCTTCCCCCAGTGGCGGACTTCAGCATCCAAGACTACCCAACAACTGCTAACCTGCGGCAAGCAAATCCACACCCAGCATCAAGGTTCCCTTAGAGTGCGTGGCCATCCGCACGTCGACTGTTTGACACTTGTTGAAGGTGCTTTGTCACCAAACCGATATCTGCTCTGTCAATGTCTTTCTGGGTTAA